TTGTATTATTAAAAGTAGATTAAATAAAATCTTATCTGTAATTACCTTAAAATTACAAAAGAAAATAAACCAAGTTAGTAATAACTTGAAATATAGTTTACTACTTGGTTGCAAAGTTTTAAAATTCATTTTAATCATTTTCTTTTTTGAATTGTTATAAGTTCTACTCTAAAATTTTTTTTTAATTACTATATTTTAATAAAATAAATAAAGAAAAACAACTTGAATTTGAGAAATATAATGAAAAACCTTCCCATATAATAATATAAATTACATTACAGATAATTCTTTTAGCCAAGTTTTAGAATCATTTGTTAGTAATGTTTTCTGGGTTAGTAATTCAAGAAAGTGTAAATCAATAGTTTGAATACACTTTAATAGAGAAACTGTTGAAAATTTTGGATAACCAGTTTGTCTTATATGTAAAAAAGTATATAGAAATTTTATTAGAGTTTTTATATTAAGAAAACACTTTGATAAATACTAAATAGAAATGTTTAAAAAAAAGCAAACTACATTTTATATTTTTTAAACTGACTTTTATAATGAACTAGAGCAATAAAAACAAAATAAAGGATTAATTTTTTGGTTAATTGTAAACCAACAATTTACTAACAACTCTTTACAATAGTCAATAAGAGAGCTGACAAAAATCAGGTAATTTTTTAGGAGAGGAGGGGGTAAAAAAAGTTGAAATTATATATAAAGAACCTAACTATTTGTATATTAAAGGAGGAGGAGGGGGGTAGGCCTCTAATAAAAAATAAATGACATAGCCCTAATCAGTACTTTTATAAGTTTGTAGATATTTTAGATCCTTATTATACTGTTTTTACTAAACAAGCCGCAAAGAATATAATACTGTAAAAGAGCTGACAATTATCAGGTGATTTTTTAGGAGGGGGTCAAAAAAATTAGAATTTTATATATGAGACCTGATAATTTATATATTAAAAACTAGAGAGGGTAAGCCTCTAATAAAAAAAAATCAGATGATAAATGATATTGCCCTAATTGATATATTTAATTAATAATATGAAAAAATTAAAGACTATATTAAACATATTTTAGATAAAATCTCTTTCACTACAGATATATAAAAATCATTAGAGAGCTAATAATTATCAGGTGATTTTTTAGGGGGGGTCAAAAAAATTGAAATTTTATATATGAGACCTGATAATTTATATATTAAAAACTAGAGGGGAGATAAGCCTCTGATAAAAAAAAATCAGGTGATAAATAACACTGCTCTTAAACAACAAAGCTTTTTTGAACCTTATTAGATTTTCTTATTATTGATGTATGGCACATGTTTTGAATCTTGTAGCAAAACAAAGTTTAACTATAGTTGGTTTAGCTATGAATAAAGTACAACAATTAATAACAAAAATCAAAACATCAGTCTGTCTTTGTAATAAATTATGTGTATTATATAATTTTAAAAAAATTAAATACCTAAAAGTAAAGCTAGATATAGAAGTAAGATGGAACAGTATATTTAATATTTAAAAATATAAAATTATCCCTAAATTTTCTTAGCATTGATAATAACTCAATTGCTAAATTATATTCTAATTATGATAATTAATAAAAATTACAAGTAAGTGCAATTATTTTTATTATTTTTATTTTTTTTTAAACAGTCATGCTTTTATTCTGTGAACCTCATGTAACTATTATAAGTGAATACAACAATTTTTTACGAATATGGTTTTATTTAATAAAAACTACCCAAGCATAAGCCCAAGTCGATCTGTCATAACAACTGTTTGCTTCTCTCAGGATCCAAAACTTTCAATAGATTTGGTACCATAAAGATACTCCCTTGATACTTCGCTAGCTGTTGTATAGCCAATTCATGACTGCTAAACTTTTCTTTCTAATTCTTCCTTCTTCTCAAGAGGCACGAGACAAAAGGGAAAAAATTTTCAAAACAGGTTATACAAAAATGAAAGAAAAAGAAAAACAGAAAAGAAAGAAAAAACAGACACAAATTGCAAAAAAGAAAAAACATAAAGAAATATAATAATCTATGAAGCACTATTATAACCTGTGCCAGGCAAGTATAAAAATTATATAACAAATGCAACATTTGTATATCTCTACTGTAAGGCTTCACCTTAACGTTAAATTTACTTTCCAACCTTCCTACCGACTCCGGATAGCTCCATTATCTGTCTTAATTCATATCTCAAGCCAGGTGCTGCCGTTATCCGAAGACCTTTGTCTCAAACCACCTGCTACTATAATTAGAGTTCCCAGGCTGAGTCCCTTGAAGTAGCGCCATATTCGTATATAAACAAACACGTGGTTGCATTCTGCTAATCTGTCCGAATTTGGGAAATAAACAATGTCGATCTTTTGGAGGGAGTAAGCCAAATCCCCACTTTTTGTAGAAATTTTTGAAAGACCAACGGGAGGGCGAGTAGAAGTAGAGAAGAAACTACTTGACCAAGTAAAAGAGTGTGGCTTGAAGAAAAGCAGAGCCTTGTTGTTTCTCCTGTGTTTTTCCTCTAGAAGTAACAGCCTAAGTAACTTCGTCGATGGGCTGACCATTTGTCTTTCCACCAAAATTTTGTATCCAAGGGCGCACACCTCCAGCCAGTTATTTTGTATACTAATGCTTTTGGCTTGCATGTTGAATGCACAACTTATAGAGGAGTCCTGGAAGAGTAAAACCGTTGACCTCTAGACAAACTACTACGTTAGGCCACGACTCTCCAACAAAAATTTTGTTTTTATTCAGTAGGAATTTTGGTCCAAATGATCGTCAGGAAGAGTTGTCCTAATTATTTTTATTATAATATTAAGTTTGAATTATAAAACTAATAATAATATATAAAAATATTAAATATAAGATCTTATAACCTTATTAGAACTATTAAAGAAAGTTACAAGATATCTATCAGCTACATCTTATCCAACTTATAGTGATATTCAGTTTGTTTTATAAGTCTTTAATGATATTTGTATATATATTGTAACTAAAATATTTGGTTATAAGATAAGTTAGATCTTTGTTAAAAGAATATTCAAAACAAAAAGACATTTTATTAGATAATTAAGACATGATAGTGGATCATGTTCCTACAAAAAAGTGTTTTTATATCCTTTTATAATTTTAATATCTGCACTATTCTAAAACTATTTACTGACCCAAGTTACAAACTGATTTTATGCATAATGATTTATGTATAATGATTGTATGCATAATGAATTATACATAACAAATTTATGCATAATAAAAATAATAAATAAATAAATATAAAGAAAAATCTATACTAAGAAAAAATAGCTTAGTAGTAGCTATGACGCAAAGGGTTCAACTGTGTTATATGTCACATGACTATATGACTACTACAAAATGTTGAACCCAAAAATATTACTATATTACACTTCTCCCTTCTTCAAAATATGAGGTCCTCTAAGCATAATTAACTAGTAATTATAAAATTTTAAACTAAATTTCTATATATATATAAAAACTAATTCTATTTAGGGGTTTTAGGTTTCTTGGTGTACCTATAACCAGAACTCTATAAATTAAAATTCTATAAAAACTAACAGGAGTTTTATATCTAGAATAACCCATAACCAAAAACTTAGAAATTTTATATTTGAAACAACCTCACAACCAAAAACTTAGAGATTTTATATTTGAAATAACCCTACAATCAAAAACTTATAACCAAATCTTCAACCTTGGCTAGCCTATAGCCAAAAATTCTAGCCTCTATTCATGGCTATCTGTATCATAGTATTCTCTATTCTTAGCTATCTGCATCATAGCATCCTTTATCCTTGGCTATCTGCACTATAGCATCCTTTATCTTTGGCTATCTGTACCATAGCCAAAATTTCATTATTGGCTAACCAATAGCCAAACCAGGCTCTATCATTATGCTTTACAAATATATACTTAAAACAAAAAATAATTTGTCTAATTTAAAAAAAACATAATATTTATAATATCTAAAAATTTAACATCTAAACAAATATCATAAAAAAATTTTTTTTTAATTTCACATCTGGGGTATAATATTGTTTTTCCTTTTACTATATGTACTACTTTATTTTCTTTATTTATTTACTTATTATTTTGAGGTCTTTCAGATTCTTTCAAAATTGGGTTGTCCTTTGAATTCATTTTATAAGCTACTAAAGACAATTTCTTTTATCTTGACTTTGATGTCACCCACATAATCATTAATTATTGATTGGTGATCTACTAACTTTTAAATTCTTTTTTCTATTCTCTTCTTAGCTTCATGTTTAACTTACACCTTGGTCTTTGAGTTTCATTCATATAGCTTCAGTTTTTTGGTTTGATGTCACTTTATTTTCTCATTTTTAGTCTTTTGGTTTTCTTTTATATTTAATTCTATATTCTTTTGGTGTTTATTCTTGGCTTTACACAGACACTTCTATGATGAATAGTTTTCAAGCAAGATCTTTTACCGATCTTGACAAGATGCTAGTGGTAAGATTTTTACTAACTTTTACTTTCTGGCAGTCTTTGTTGAGTAAAGTCTTATATGCTTTTAGTTTTTGTTTTTTTTTTTATTTTAAAAATATATATTCTTTATACTTATGTTAGTTTTCTATTTTTATTTCTAGATCTACCTCTTCCAGTTTCAGATTTAGATTTTCTAGCTCTTATTTCTTCAGTTTTTTCATTAACGACTTCTTTTTTTGAGATTCAGAATCTTCTTTTCCAGTATAAAAAGAATTTGTATATAAGTTTTCTTGGACTTTTTTCCTTGCCGGCAAAGATTTCCTTAAACCCTGGCATTTATAATAAGCCAGTTAAGTAGCACTTCTTCATTGGGGTACCTTTTCTTTTTTTTTTTTTTTTATCCCTGTATTCATTTGCTAATTTATTTATTTATTTATTTTTTACGAATTACTTTTCTGAAGCTTTGTGATACAAGAATTTTTTCCTTATAAGGCAAAACTAAGATTTTTTAGTCTAGTACTATAGATAGGCCCTTCTAGTAATGTCTTGGCTAAAGTTTTTTATTAGAGATCTTTTGGAACTTGACTATGCTAAAGCTTTTCTTGCGATCTTTAGTTTTGTGTTTAATCTTTATTTGTTTAAATTACCTTAGCTAAACTAATATTGCTTTTTTTTTTTTAATTCAGGATTCAGAGTTTACTGGGGCTCTTTTTGCAACAATGAAAAGTTTTTTTTAGCCATTGCTTTGACACATATAGGATCAGGTATAATTTTATTTTGGGCTAATATTCGATAATTTAAGTGAAATAATCTTGGAACTGGATATAAGAGATTGCATAGAGTTGAATAAAAATTTTTTCAAAAGAAGTATAAATCATTTAATTATATCTTCTGTTATATATTTATTTTTAACTTACTTTTATTTGTCATTTATTATTCCCTATAACGTTGTGAATAATGGGAGAAGCAGAATATTTGAGGCCATGTTAGGATAAATATAGAGTATGAAATCTTTTAGGAATAGTGTATTCTTTTATATAATATATGTTTTATATATATATATTTTTATATTAGTTCTTTAAAGAATTGCTTAAGGCTAACAATATTTTTCTTTCTTTTGTATAGTCTAGGGACTAGTAGACTCTTTTAAACTTTTGGAGCTTAAGTCTACCCGGTTTGAATTGCAAGATATAGAGTAGTCAGAATTTATAAATAAGGTCTCTTGAACCTTATAGTTCCCTTGCTTTTGGAGACAAGAAATTCAGGTTGAATTGATGGTATGCGGAGTTGATTATAGAGTACAGAGAGTGATGTATCCTTTTTACATACTATACTGTTTTTTTTTGTTAATTTTATTCTACTAATATTTACTAGATAAAAAAATATGAGATGCAAGAATATTAGATAAAGCATAATGTATGAATCGGAATATTGGCATGAAAAAATAATTCAAACATTAATTGGGTTATTAGAAGAACAGATATAATGTTTTTTGAGTTGAATTTCTTCAATTAAGTGATCTAAGGTTCTGTCATTGTTGTCAAATATAACCAAAATATTTGGTTATAGGATGGGTTAGGTCTTTATAGAAAAATATTTAAGACAAAGAGGCACTTTATTAAATATTTAAAACATGATAGTAGATCATGTATCTACAAAAAGGTGTTTTTACATCCTTTTATAATTCTAATTTCTGCACTATCCTAAAACTATTTACTGATCCAAGTTATGCAAAATGATTTTATGCATAATCGATTTATGCATAATAATCATATGCATAATAAATTATATATAACAAATTTATACATAATAAAAATAATAAATAAATAAATATAAAGAAAAATTTATACTAAGAAAAAATAGCTTAGTAGTAGCTGTAATATGAAGGGTTCAACTATGTTATATATCATATAACCATATAACTACCACAGAACATTAAATCCAAAAATATTACTATATTACAATATATCAAAAAAAAAGTTTTTTCAAAGTAATATAATTACCTTTATAGATAAAAAATTAATTAAGTACTAAAAAATAATAGATAGCTTTTTGGTAGTGTTAGCAGTTCTTAATCTATATATTAGACTTAAAATTTTTGGTAATATTACAGACCAAAAAAATACTACAAATTTAACTTATCAAGTTTTTAATTATTACAAGTTTCAATTTCAACTATCTGTACTATGTAATAATATAAATAATAAATCCAAACCAAGCACCACTTGATAATTCTTTTGGCAACTAGGTTTACAAAACATTTAACTGCTTCATATTAACTATGAAGATCCTCTTCATTTCTATAAGAATCAATGCCACCTAACTAAAACTAAATGTAAACAATGTAAACAAATTAATAGTTACAAAAATAAAAATTATTTTTGATATTATTACAGTAAACAATAATACCTAAAAACTGCTTAGCCAGCTAAGCCAGCCAATATAATATGATCAGTAGCTAGATTTAAAAAAGTCAGATAAATTCTAAAAAAGAAAATATCAGCTAATGGCTAACAAATATCATAATTCTAAAAATTTTTAGTAAACTTTCTATGTTTATTTATTTTAGTTAGCTGGCTTAGCTAGCTGACTAAAACCTTATAGCTTAAATCACTAAGTTTTGTCTGACAATTGGGAAGGAGTCAATAGAAAAGGGACAAATCATTTTTAGTAAAATTTTTTTAATTTTTAAATTAAAATATCTCAACAACTAATTACTCAAATTTGCTAAAAATTTTTTTATTTTAATCTTAAAATTATATAGAACTAAAATAAAATAAATTTAATAAGATAATTGTCAAGATATTTAAGCCTAAAGTCAAAAAAACTTTTACTTAAAAAAATTTGTCCCTTTTCTATTGACTCACCTCCAATTATTCATTGATATTTATTTTACCAAAGCTTTTTACAGACAAAGTAATTTTGGTTATCAGTGACTAATTGTGGTGTCTATGAAGTGATTGTTAGTGAATAAATTCTTTTATTTGTACTCAGATTTAATGGGTAATCTGTGTATCTGACTCACTATTACATATAAGTGCTGGACACATAGTACTATGTTTTAATTACTATATCTGGTATTTGCAGAATCAAATTATTTACCTCTATAATATAACGCAGTGTAGCTAATAAATTTATTTCTATAAATAGCTCAAGTAGTATATTTTTATCACTTTGCTATTTGGTAAAAATTTTAGAGTTTTTTGGTGATAGTTGTTTTTTAAGTTCTCTTCTAGCATTCGTTCATTATATTTATATAATATTATGGTGTATTTTCTATAATTTTTGGTTGTAAGTTTTTATTACATTGATATTTGAAGGTTTGGTCCAATTTCTTGATTATAAAAAATTAACTTTCTATATAAGATTTCTTACATAATTATACTGAATGAATAAATATCTAATGATATTCTTCTTTTCAAAACTTCTAGTGCTATATATGGTAAAATTCTATAAACTCCACCAGACCTTGTTTTTAAAGCTATATCAAATGATGCAGAAAGTTCTAAATTTGCAATATATATTACTACTATATAAATCTTGATGAATAATTTTTTGTGAGTAAATTATTTGGAGATCATATGTAATTCCTATTTTATTTTTAACATATGATGAAGGTTTTTATGCAATGAATCTAAATTAGCAAGTTTTAAAACAAGGATATAATTTCTGTTGATTAACCTGGGCTATTATGATTACGATAGATATTCTTTTTGCTCAGAAAATAGTGAGCCATATGGTTCATCATAAATTACTAGTAATGTAGTTGGATACTATCTAAATTTTAGAAATAAGATAGTATTTTATACATAGAATTAACTTGAATAACCATCATTTTAGAAGTGGAGATTTATATTTTTTAAGAAACTGCTTGTTATCTACCTAACGATTTAAAAAGTTATCTACTCTTGTATCTACTTTGCATCAGATTTAAGTCACAAGACAGGTTAGTAAAAGCAACAAAATCAGATGCTTATTTTTTAATTAATTTTATTGGCTGATAGTCACATTTTTGAATTTATATAAATATTTTTTAAAAGTTGCGTAAACTCAACCTGAAAGGTTAGTAGAAGCAACAAAATCAGATGTTTATTTTTTTATTGACTGATAGTCACATTTTTAGATTTATATAAATTAGCCAATTTTAAAATTATATAAATTTAACCTGAAAAAAATAAAGTCCCACTACTTGCAAACAAACAGAAAATTCAACCTAAAAAAGAGACTATTACTTTTAAGCCAAAATTTGCCTCGCCTACACCTGCCTTGCCTGCATTTGCCTTGCTGCACCTGCCTCGCTTTTTTTTTAAAGTATTTTTTTTATATTATAGTTTCTTGTGTTTTGTGTGTTTTTTCTATCTTGTGGAATGCTATTTCTGTGCTAGTTTTGCTTCTTATAGAGTGTTTTTATTGTGTAATTTCCTCTCCTTATGGAGTGCTTTAACTGTGATTTTCTCTTTTTATGAAGTGCTTTTACTGTATGATTCTTTTTTCTTATAGAGTGCTTTTATTGTATAATTCACTTCTTTTATAAAATACTTTTTACTGTGATTTTCTCTCCTTATAAAGTGCTTTAACTGTGATTTCTTCTCTTTATAGAGTGCTTTACTATATGATTCTTTCTCCTTATGAAGTGCTTTTACTGTGATTTTCTCTTCTTATAAAGTGCCAATATATAACTTCTTGTGGAGTTCCTTTTACAAAACTAGGAATATTTAAAAGCTTACCAGCTCTGGAAAAGAAGTTGGTACTTTAGAAATATATAAACTATACAATATTTTTTTTTATATATAGCAAGTGCCAACATTATTTGTAGTTGTTGCTCTGATCTAGAGAGAAGTGTTTTTATCTACGATAAACTACAAGGTATCTATGAAGAGGTTTTGAAAAAATAGCTTCAGTACTTTTCCTACACATGTTCTCCCATGTTTGAAAGGATGCTGTACTTATATAAGTTAGTATAAAAATAAATAAATTTATTGAAAATTTTAATGGCTAATTTTTTATTTTTTATATAGATATGGGCATGTTCACTTTTACAATAAAGAAAAAGCCTTCTGCTTTTACTATAGTTTGGCCAACAAACTACCAGAAGTTGCAGAATTTAGTTCTTCTAATAAAAGAAAGATTCTTTTTAGAGTGGCAAAATATTATAATTCTTTGAAAAAATAAGAACACATTTCGGTAAGACCATAGATGCGTTTTGTAATAAATATATTTATTTTATATTAATATGTAATTTATTTAATTTTATAAATAAAATAGTATCTTTGCTCTCTGGAATTAGCTCCTATTAATTATTATGAATTGTTAGTAGAAAGAATGAATAAACTAGAGGAACGTCTTGAAAAGATCGAACTGAAAAAAAAAAGCAAAATAGATAATTAATTGTATATTACAGTAGATATATAAATATTGTATATTTTAACTATTTTACAGTATAATAAATTTGAAGTTATATATATAACTTTATAAATTTTATTAAATAAACATGTAGCTTTTACAGAAATAACAATTACAAAACAATTATTTGAATTGATACTTTTTTATATTAATTCTTAAGCCATCCAATCGGTGATTTATTTCATTAAAATATGTAAAAAGACAGCAATCACGTGAGTTTTAGCCAATTATTGGTATAACAATAACAATAATTACAGTTAATAAATATACTAAGAAACCTTTACTCTCAGAATCAATCAATAGTACTTCAGGATCAACCCTCATTAAAAAAGTAAATGAGACCTAAAAATTTAATAAAGCTTGCATATTGAAACTAACTTTTTTGCTATTGTCTTTTAAAATCTATAGTAATAGTGTTTCACAACCTTTATTAAAAAAGTTTGTTTTTGGTTAAAACAAACTTGAATCTGAAAGAAGAAAAATATTAATATGCATTGCACAATAACTTTGGATCCTAGCAGTATTAATTTTGAACCAGAAGGTGGAAAAGTATTAGCTATTGCACTTTGCAAAAACTTCATATTAATTTCAGTCTTGGAAGGAATAAAATTAAACCAGATAGGAGAAAAGTGTTAGTTAATGCATCTGTTTTGATTATAATAATGTTACTATACTAATTCTTTAGATTTTCATTAAAATAAACTTGGATCAATGCTTTTTTAAAAACACCATACTGATTTTTTAAATATTAGGAATAATAATATTTATGAAAGAGAATTGGCAATGGCTAATTCACTTTACAAAAATTCACACTAATTCTTTAAAACATATGTATATACTATAGATATGGTGGAGACACTCAGAAAAAACTATGCTGATTCTTTAAATATTTGTTGGAATAAACTTGGATTATATGGTAAGAAATGCTTTTACAAGAACTGACTATAATTGATGCACTTTACAAGAACTTCATACTGACTTCTTTAGAACATATATGTATACATTATAGATGTAGTAGTAGTGATACTCTGGGAAACCATTGTTGAATAAACTTGGACTATGATAAAAAGCATTAATAGATGCTTTTTGCAAAACACCATAGTCTTTGATATTTGATCAAAGAGAACTAGAAATAGCTAATGCACTTTATACTCTATACTGACTTTTTTAGGTATATAAGATGTATACAATCTAAAAACCTCAAAATTTCTAAATGTGGAAACAATGTACCTGCTACTGTATAATGTAATATACAAAATATAATATTATATGCATATAAGTGATCTTTTTGATATATTTATTATAATATAGAGTGCTGTCAATTAGATAAACATTAACTGTATTTAAATCTATATTTAATTTTATTATTTTTAAAATTTAGCAGATGAGAATACAGGAATGTAAATACCTTAATATCTTACTCTTAGTACTCTGGGCCTAAAAGTAAGATATCAGAATATTCCAATATTTTGCTATTTATTGATCCACCTCCTGATATCTTACCAGTATACTGACAACGTACTGCTAATATTTAGCAAGTATTTAGTAGATCTATGGGTATATATCAAGAGACTTTTCTCCTAGTATATGCCTGATATTTATTGAAAAGTTATTCAAACTAAAAGGTTGATTACAATATCCCCACCTATTCAATTTTTTGTTTTTTTGCATATAAGGCCATACAAAATTAATTTCTTGGTTTTCATAACCCAGCCAGGTTCAAAAATTAAAACTTGAAATTTTTAATTTTTTTTAAATTTAGCCAATAGAAATACAGATCGCTTAAGCAGACTAATTGACTCATAATTACTAAATTAGACGTATGTATAATATAATCCTCTCAAGATTATCTAACTCAATCATTTTATTGCTTTAAACAAATTTTGCTTTATTTACAAAACACTACGTACAAATAGGTTGGAGAAGCCCATAGCTTCCCCACTTGGTTAGGTCCAAGGCGACGCTACATTATAAGTGTTAATCTGATTTCTAAAAGCTAAGATTTTTAAATTAACATGTAATTGCAGTTTTGTACATGCATATATTATTTAGAAAATTAGGTTATGTTCAACATAAACACAACTAGATATACTAGAATGTTATTTAATCTGCCTGAACTGGCTTGATTTTATATATGCTGTATATAATGACTAAGTATATGAATTAGAAGTCCAAACTCAATTTAAAGAAATAAATCACTAAAAATGTTTGTAATATCTTAGAAGAAAGAGAATCCATCGATAATGAACTTCATGATAGATTTTTTTTTTCATTTGGCAATACTGTTTAAAATCATTACAAGTAAATTTTAACTAAAAAAGGAATGAGAAGGCTGTCATTTTTTATATTTAACAGGTTGTATTTAATTTTTTTATTCTTTACCTGACTAGTTTAATTGTATTGATTTTTTTTTTTAACAGCACGGCTTCCTTTTTTTTTGCTACCTTGTTTCTATTTAAACCGCTTTTTTGGTATAGTAATACTATTACATTTAGAGCAAAGAGATAATTCGTCTTTTGTTTTCTTTAAATCTTCAGCATTACTGCAATTATAGCATATATTAGAATATATACCTGCTGAGTAGTATGGTCTTTCAATTGGTGATGCACAGGTCCATAAGTCATTAACAAAGACTCTTTCGAAAAGTATTTTAATTAGATCCTCTACATTAATATCTTCATTCATATTAACATCTTTATCCATATTACTATAGTCAGATTCTTCAGATTCACAAAACTCCTGCTTGTTATTATAACTATTATTATCTTGATCATTGGGCTCTAAAATATTATCTTCGTCTGTATCATTAGAACTAGTACCATTTTCAGAATGGTTGTCAGTAGCATCTGAGTTAATAACCTGTATATCAGTTTGTTCTGTTGTAATAGCTAATGATAGATCACATGTATTATAAAAGGATATCCCGCATGCAGTATTGTATATAGGACAATTTTGAACATTTTTTTAAATTAAAATTACTCAAAATTTTATTAAGATAATCTATTTTAATTTTTTTTTTTTTTTTTTTTTTAAGCAATCTTGTCTTTATTTATCTGAACTACTATTCTAATGACCGTACAATGTAC